ATCGGGTCATTTTTTTGTAAAATATTTCGGGATGGTGCTCGAGTTAGAAACTCGGATTTGTTGTTTCTTGATGGGGAAGGTTTATGAACCTATGAAACACTGTGTGGTGGATGTGAACCTGTTGCTGGTAGTCATTTCCTGGCCTTTGAATTTTTATCTTTGTTTTGATGCAAATGAATGTCTGAATTGGATTCTTAGGGAGGGATTGGACATGAATTCAACTGGTTTTTGACCGGTTTTGTTTGGTCAAATTTAATTTATGTTGAATAAATGTTTTTGACTGGTTTTGTGTGGTCAAAGTTAATTTATTTTGAATAAAGTAGATTGATAGTGAATTATTTTGGGTTTGAAATTAAATAATATTTAAAATGTAATGATTTAAATTGATGTCATATAAAAGTAGAAAGTGATTATTGAAAGTGACTGATAGTTAAAATTAAATGAGTAAATGAATATTGCCTCAAGTTGATTTGATGTGTGTGAATGATTTAATTATATTAATATGTAATAAAAGAGTTGAATTCAGTTTGATTTTGAGCTAGATTATCATAACCGATTAAAATCGATTATAATTCATATCCAATCACGCTCTTGATACACAAACAATATTTAAAACCGGTTATCCAATCACGCTCTTAACACTAAAACAATATTTCTCATCCTTCATGACAATTATAACTTATATCCAATCACGGCCTTTAACACTCAAACAATATTCCTCATCCTTCATGACAGGCGCTATAGAGTCTGGTCGATTAAATAATATTGTGCAAGTATGTATACTTTATTTAATAAACATGTATAGTTTCATACTCGAATAATATATTATAAACAAGAAGTTAAATAAAATCATGACATTTTACGGTATAACTGTGCAATTTCTTTAAAATGTATGATGAGTTGATCAATTGTTAATTTGGCTCATACTATAATTTCTGTAGTAATTAATGGAGAGCCGGCCGGAAAATGCCTGGGGCTTGAATGAAGAGTCGACGACGAGGAGAGAAATTTACAATTTGATTTCAAAATAAGAACAATAAATAACAATAAATAACAATTTATACAAAAATAACAATAATAATAAGTTATAGTAATAATAATCGGAAATGTTAAGGTCTGTCGGGTTTGTAACCGTTAGATCTTCATGTAACCGTTTGAGATAGTTGATCTAACGGCCTCGACGGAATGGTTCAGTAAGGAGACCATATAATCTTCCAATAATAATACGGTTGGTCAAGACCAATCTAACAACTAGAGCCTGACAGAAAATGCTTAGGGCTTAATGAGGAGTCGACGAGAAGAGGAATTTACAATTTGATTTCGAAAAAATAACAATAAATAACAATTTATACAAAAATAAAATAATAAGTAATAGTAATAATAATTATACGGTCCGATATTCTATTTTTATAAATATGTAAATTTTAATTAAAAAATGATAATCACATCTGATAGTATAAAATAAGGGGAAATGTTACGTTCCATTACAGAATGATTCCGTCGGAGTTTGTAACCGTTAGATTAGGGATGAAAACGATCGAAAACGATCGGCATAGGGCTCAACCATTTCCACTTTCATATTTTTTTTCTCGGAAACGAAAATGATACGGTAATGTCGGAAACGGAAACGACATCGGTATTCCGGTAATATCGAAAACGAAACTATCCGATCGAAAATACATCGATAACGATCGAAATATATTAAAACGGTATTTGAAAAACGATAAACACACCACATTATAAAATATAGCATTAAAACATTAATTGAAATA